AAGGGATTTGCCTTATGAAGGCAAATCTGAAAATTATACAGCGATGGAGGGGTTAAGCACAGTCAGAGCAGGCAGACAAAATTATACAGGGATTAATTGTAGTCTATATCCACATCCTCACTTTTACTATGGATATTCCTTACAGGAGTTTCAAACAGGTTGTTGTGCTGCTTGGGGGGAAGCGTTGCCTTTAGAGAGAATATAAGCATAGTTTTTCTAGGCTTTATTTACACAGAGGGAGCAGCAGATACTTCCTGCACTAAATCTGAATCCACTAAGCCTCCGTAACACGTCTTGGCTCTCATTGCCCACGACCACAAGGTTGTAACAGTACCCAGAGGCTGAGGGAAGTTGCAAGGAAGACATGCACTTCCTACTCTCGATGCATACGTATGAACGACTGTGCTACTCTAAGAGAGTAGAACCAAAGTAGTCCCTTAATTTGTGAATCATTCTGATTTAATTGAACATGCAGAAAAGCTTAGCTCCCTCTCTCCATAGCATAGACACCTTTTAATGCATTTCTGCTGAATAGTAGGAGGCTGTATTCTTGGGAACTAGAGGGGAGGAGATGGAAGAAAAAACATTTCAACGAGCAGGTGCAAGAAGATAGATAGAGAAAATAAGCACTGTGAGACTAGCTGATAGAAAACAGTGCTTTGAAGTAAGTCAGAAAAATATATTAGGATTTTTATGACACAAGAGAATAAATTACAATGTTTTGAAGCAGTGAAGTATGAAAAGAGGTGTAATAAAAGCCAAAGATCCAACAACTGAATAATAGAAATACTGGAACAAGTAAAGGGCCTAAAATATTCAGACTTGAAGTGCTCCATATTGCTCAGTTAACCAAGCATGGGACAAAGCATTATTTTTTGTTATAATTTATAACTGTATAATTTATAACTTCATCTGTGAAGTTCCGTTAGGTGCAGATCTTGCTCTGCTATCGCTGCATTCTAGGAGCTGCGCAGTGCACATAGTGCTGTGGGGCTGTGCAGGCCACACTCAGAGGGGACAGATGCCACCTGGTTCCCGTCCAGTGAAAAACAATTTCTTAAACAGTTTTCTTCCTATCAACGTGCTAGAAAACACCTGTATTCAATGTAATGCTATGGCTGGAAGCTTCCTTGTAATCCCTTTGAATCCTGGCTGGGAAAGCTGTACCAGCTACTTTCTGAGGGAAGGTTTCTGCAGAGAATAGATTTTTTGAACATTCTGATGCCAGCTCATAAGCGCTTTTTTTTTTTATCTCCTACTGTTGCTTTTCAAAAATAACCCAACTGTTCTCAGTGTGCAGATTCAGAGCTTTTAGAGGAATAATATGTAGAATATGTAGTTAGTGGAATAAAAAGTAGTCCTGTCTTTTGGGGGCACAGATCAATTACTGAAGTTTTGTTTTCCTCACACCTGATTCTCGCTGTTTCTATGTCATCTCTTGATGAGATGAGGTTGTATAAGATGTTTCGATTTTACCATAATGATCATAGAAATTACAGAATGGTTTGGGTTAGAAGGGACCTTAAAGATCATCTAGTTCCAGCCCCCCTGCCATGGGCAGGGACACTTTCCACTAGATCAGATTGCTCAAAGCCTTATCCAACCTGGCCTTGAACATCTCCGTGGATGAGGCATCCACAACTTCTCTGGGCAACCTGTTCCAGTGCCTCTCTACCTTCATTGTAAAAAAATTCTTCCTTGTATCTAATCTAAATGTCCCCTCTTTCAGTTTAAATCCATTGCCCTTTGTCCTGTCACTACACGCCCTTGTAGAAAGCCCCTCTCCAGCTTGCTTGTATGCCTTCTTCAGGTACTGGAAGGCTGCTGGAAGTTCTCCCCAGAGCCTTCTCTTCTCCAGGCTGAACAGCCCCAACTCTCTCAGCCTGTCTTCACAGGAGAGGTGCTCCAGACCTTTGAATGGCATAATTTGCAGATTACATGGCTTGCTCATGGAAAGGCTTTTTTAGGGTAGTAAAAATTGTAAGCTGAGTGATTTCAAGATTTAGATTTCCACCATCTTTCCTCATATTTTTTTTTGAAGAAAAGGAGAAATCCAGTGAAATTATCTACTCTAAAATTGCAGTAGTGCTATTTACTTTATTGAGAGGTTTACCGTTCACAGCTGAAATGCTGCTGTTGTAATTAAGACCCCGGTTTCATGCCCACTTTAAGCTCCCCTCCTCCGCGGCTTTCCTTGTGGGGCAAGTATCGTGGCTGCTCTATGAATTAAATTAGGCAATTGATGCAAATTTAAACTACTTTGGCAAAAAGGCTGTTTCTAGTCTAGAGCAGCTCCTTGGTGCAGTTTGCCGGGAGAGTGATGGGTGCCAGCCCTGGTGGACCACAGGGCCACAAGCCGGCTGGGACTGCTTCATCAGCGCTGCGGGTCATGGTGGCACTGAAAGTCTGGCGCATGGTAGGGCTGCACTTTCTGGGTATGTGTGTGGATTTTAGTGACAATTTTCAGTGTTTTTTGATGTCTGTTTTTTGCCTGGAACCAGTGAAACGGCTCTCTTGTACTTGCACTTATGAATTGAAGATATTTAGCTTTCTGTTTTAAAATGGGGTGGAATAGGAAGACTTTAGCTCTCAGCTGGATGTCTTTAAGGACAGATTTTGTGAGGGTGAAGTGAACACAGCTGGGTTTGATTTCAGCCTCCTGTGGTGTCTTCTAGGACTAGACGCTGTTGATGCTTGTGTAAGGTTTGGTTTGTTAATAATCTCTAGTTTTTAAGAGGCTTAAATTTGTAATTCATGCTATTGGACGTGGCAAGGGAAGCTGAGCAGCCCTGGAGGGGAGCCTAATGGAGGACTGTGTGCAAGGCGCGGGAAGGGCCCGCTGAAGGTAATGGGAGCGAAAAGGTGAATCGCAAAGGGGGACTTCTCTTGGTTACGAGAGGGGTGTGAAGAATTTAAACTATGTTTGGTAGCTGACCTCAAACCTTGATGGGGTATTAATGGGGAAAATTTAATTGTTTGTAAAGAGTACAGCTGTTAAGAGAATTCTCCTACTCTTAACTATAGGCTTTGTCTGCTGAAGGATGAACTTGGAAATTTGAATCTCTGGGCAGCTGTGGAACAGATTGCAACAAATCTGGATTAAAATAATGTATCATAACTGCCATTTTAAGAGTCTAGCAAAAGGAAGAGAATTGAAGCTTGGCAATTGTCCATATTGTCAGATATAAAAGATGAGATTATTTGTCATAGCCCTGAGGTGATAGAAACAATTCATGTGAAGAAAATGCAGAGAGCACTTTCTGAAAACAGGATACAGAGTTACAGTGCCAAAGGAGCAAACCAGGGAATACTTTCTCCCAACCTAACACATGGTTTCTAAGGTCTGTGAAGAGATTTTCAGAAGTGTGCTGTATGGTTGTGTGCTATTTTGTATGTACTTTAGTAATGTAAATTTTGTTTTATTTTTCTACCATGTTTTCTAATGAAAAAACAAAGTAATTTATAATCCCTTCACTGATTGCTGAGCTAAAGGGCAAAGTCCAATCTGTGCAGGGAGGAGGTGAGGGGGAGAGCCTCACCACTTCCTTGGTGAGTGCAAGCAGGAAGATGATGAATGTTTGTCTGTGTGTGAAATGATCCTTTCTTTTCTGTGATCCTTTGAATTTTTCACACCATTTCCTCTTTGTTTGAAAGGAGTTGTTATGGATGTCAGCTGTGTTACACCAGTTCACTCCCTGTCTGCAGCATGTCTTGTACAGTCAGCAATCAAAAAAACCAAGTTTGTATATTTAACATTACTTTAATGTGAGTGTGCAAGAGCATGAGGCATGGATTAAATCTTATGATATTTACTATCTTATGTGAACATTTGTAATGTAAATTTTATTTTAATGTTCAGCATGTTTTCTAGTGCAGATAGAGTAATTTTTTACCCCTACCTCTACTGACTCCAGTAAGAAGTATTAGCCTACTAATACTAACCTTAAATGCAGGGTCACAACAGGCTTAGAAATACAGAAACCTGTTCTGACAATTGAGCTAATAGAGCGTTACCAGAAATACATTTTTGTACTGTTTCTGGAGTTTATCAAGAGCAGAGGGCAAAATTTGGAATACATTTTATACATACCTAAGGCTGTGTTTCTACTTGCGATATGGCTTGAGCAAATTGTGTGCTGTTCTGCCTGATGACAGGGTGGTTTGTCTCAGGAGAAATCCTGGCGTGCATTGAGGAGGAGATGTGGATCACACTGAATGGTGCAGTGGAGCAGGTTGTTTGCTGGACTGAATTTATGTGGAGGGATTGAGAGTGATCCTGCTTTCTTACCCCACCCCAAGTCTTGATTTCACCTTGTTCTCTTAGACAAGAGGGAGAAGTCCAGATTCAGAATTGTGTTTGCACTTGAGGATGGTTTAATTGAGGGAAATCATAGAATCGTAGAATGGTTAGGGTTGGAAGGGACCTCAAAGATCATCTAGTTCCAACCCCCCTGCCATGGGCAGGGAAACCCTCCCTAGTTCTTTCCTACATCTGTGGATGGTGGGATGGTGATGTTCTCCCCTGCCTGCACTCAGTGCTGCTCCAGGGAGCAGCTCTTCCTGTTGCCCCCTGTGAATTAGGTCATTAGTAGTTCTGACTTTCAGTTCTGCTGTTTTGGCATGTCTATGCCCATGTCTTGCTTTTGTTTTAGAGATGTTATACAAAGAGTTATAGTAGTGAGCAGTATGTCAAGTTGCTGCAGGGTTGCTTCCTGTCTGCGGCTTGAATCCCAGTGTGAATTTGTGCTTTTGACAGCAGCGTATCCAACAGGTCTTAATTTTTACCCTTTTAACAGTGCAGTGGAGTTATACAGGCTTTTAAACCTGGAATACTCAGGTTTCCATGCATACGATGAATTTGAGGTATGAGAGTAGTTTGAATGTCTGTGTGCGTGCTGCTCGGATGATGTGAGCACAAACCCAGAGAAACCCAAGTATAACACGGAGTCTGGCAGGAAGCTCCCATGGGCTGGTGGAGCCACAGGTAACAGAAAGCTGCTTCAACTTTTCCTGACTGAGATGTTTCATTAGCCAAGCACGGGTGGTTGTCAATGGCACTCCTGCTCCTGTCATGTGCCGGACTTTCTGCCCAGTCCCAGCTGGTCCTGGAGGACTTCCTGAGCTGGTGATGAGCCATCTACTTGGAAGAATCATCAGCTGCTTATTGTGGAACTTTAAATCGTGTTGCTTCTAGTATGTCTGTGATCTGATATAAAACAACTGCAGTGATAGAAATACTAATGTAACAAATTAGTCTCATTCATTTCATGTTTTTAGCTTAATCTAGATTACTTTTGTGACTTTTTAGAAATAGCAATAGTAATATGAAGGATTTTTTTTTTTGATGTCTATGTGACTTTTTGTGTCTACTTGAAGTAGGGGTAGACACAGATAATACTGAAGACAATTTCTGTTTTCCTAGACTTCAAAACATTGAGCATCCTAGTTTGCAAATGTTATGCTTCTACACTGAGGGTTAAGTTATCACAGTTTGGCAGTCAGCAATTGAAGTATTCTTTCATACTGTTTTTGAGTCACATATTACTCATTTTGCATGTAACACATTAATGACATTTGATATTTATTACTCCTATCAATAAGAGTCAAATCCATCTGGCGTTGCTCACAAGAGTAATCCTGTTAACTCAGTTTTATAAGTAAACCAACAGATCTGATTATTTTATTTTATTGTGTTCCTATTGTTTAATTCTCATAGGGTTTTGTCTTTGAAATAAAATTATTGTTCTGTGAAGCAAACAATAACTTTTCTTTTTAGATTCCAGCTTGATGTCTGAAAATCAAGCTGTGTCTTGCAGATTTCAGACACCAATGCAAATTAAAGCAGCAAAGAAAGATAGCCAGAATCTAGCAGCTATTTTTACTGGTGTGATGTAAGGAAGAGGAGAATTCAGTGCATATTTTGTTATTAATATAGGTTCTTTACTGTTGTCATTCAAGTAGCTGTATGTTACTCAGAAGACCCAGTAAGAGCAAATCACAGCAGTAAAGCATTTCCTTGTTACTACTCACCTGACTTCAAGAGATTTCTGATCCTTGGCTTTCCTTCCCATGCTGAAAGTGTGCGTTTGCATGAGTATCATAGCTGTCATAAAACTGCGGCTCTGCTGTACAACACTACTCATTTATTACTTGACAGTAGCTGTTGCTGTAAATCAGTTCTAGTGCTGATTTTATCAAGAGTACAGGATGTTCCTGGCAATGCTTATTCTCAGATTCTAACTGCAGTCCAGCTCCCAAAGTAGCTTGTTTTCCATGTTCTGTCACTAGTCATGTGCACTTGTCCTTTTCAAGTTCCTATATTGCTGAATTTTGTTGTTCTGGGAAATAGCCTTAACAAGTTGCACACTTCTTGACCAGAACGTACTTTCTAGTCTCAGATTAAATCTTGATGCTTGTATTTACTTCATCCTTCTCTAGAAGGTACCAACATGTGGATATGAGGAACATAAAGAATACTAAAAAAAATAGGTAGAGAGAGGCTGGAAGGGGATCTAGAATAGAAGTCAAAATGGTCTTAAAAAAAAAAGAGGACTGAACAGTGAGAGAGAAGAGTAATAAAAGAAAGGGAGGAAGTTGTTGGAGGAGGAAGTGGAGTGGAGGAAGTTGTTGCTGTTCTTTAATGATTCACCAAAAGTAATTTCTGTCCTCTTAGCTGTCTCCCTGCAGTTCCATTCTCTTGAGCTTAGTATTACCTGAGCCTGTCTCTCTCTCCCTTCTCTCCTGTATTTCTTCCTGGGTTTGATTTCCTTGTTTTGTGAAGAAGTAGGCTTGACTGCACTATATCTTTACACTCTAAGCAAATAGACCTCAGGTGAAAACTGTCAGGTATTGTTTGTGTTTCATTGCTATAGCAAGTTTACTACTACCTAAAAAGATATCTTTTTTGATCAGTGCTGTATTTGCACTTTAACTAGCGTTCAATGAGTACTGTCTTCTCAGTTTTTCCAAAATTCGGGGAGCTTGAGGATCCTATGCAGTGATGCTCTTCACCGCTAGATGGAAAATATTGTAGCTTGTCTTACAGATATGGTTGTATAACAGAACTTCATTTAGACAATGTTCAAGGAATCACTGAGCTGTTCTGCTGGATAATCAATTTTTCAGTTGACTGGCAGCCTGGCCCCTATCAGCTCTCACAAAGTACTTTTGGTTCCTCTCAGAAATCTAAAATACATTAGCAGAAAAAATAACTATGTATTTCTAGAGAGACTGGGTTTCATCAGAGTTTGTTCATTTGAGATTTGCATTTAAATAAGCAAATAGGATTTTTTGTATTTTTTTGGAAGACTTACAACAATTGAGCTATGAACACTGAATACATTTGTACGTTAAGGTGCTTTGTGAGCTCTGGAAATGTTATGACTGATACGAAAAAAGAATAGTAAGTCTCCAAAATATATTTAGGGGTCTGCACTGAAAGGTTATGAAGAAAAATAACTGGTGATAGGAATGTAAAGGGAAGACAGAGACAGGAAGAATAAAATGGAGAAGTTGGGACAGATAAACAGCTTGTTCCTCTGGAACAGCCTAACCATGTAGAAATGGTTTACAAAGGGGCCGGGAATGGTAGGTGTAGATAGTGGTGTATTCTTTTTGAAGTTCCCAGTTGTATATTGACATTAGAGAATTTTCTTTTGGTTTCTTTCTCCTGCTAGGTAAATCAAAGAATGCATATTTAATATACCAGATTTGTGAACTGAGCTAAATCTGTAGATTTATACTTAAAATGTGACAAAGTAGTTTTTGTAACACTGGAGTAAAAGACTTTTATCAGCTCTATTTATGCTGCTATCTGTGCTGCCTTTTTCTGTGAGATACCATTCCAGCTGCCAGTAGTCACTATTTCTGTAGGTCACGTTCTGTCTTTAGATGAGTTTGTTTATTTAGCAGACTAGGCAACTACAGTAAATAAAAAGGTCTCAATCTGAAGGTGTTTGTGTATAAATGTTCTTACAGCATAACTGTAATAATTTTTTCTGTGTGGCAGTAAGTGATATGGATGAAAGAGTCCGCATAATCTAATGAAATTTTAGGTATCTGCTTGCTCAGGGCAAAAAAATTGGTGTTCTGGACTTGATATTTTTATTTTTCCCCAGATACCCCATCACAAAGGGTGCAGTTTATTCTTGGAACAGAAGATGATGACGAGGAACACATTCCTCATGATCTCTTTACTGAACTTGATGAAATTTGTTGGCGTGAAGGAGAGGACGCAGAGTGGAGGGAGACAGCAAGGTGAGGGTTTTCATGATTTTCTAAAAATTATCTGTGGCTATTTGTTGCTGTTGTATTAGGGAATGATTTCAAAGCTGTGTCAAGCTCAGGAATAGATTTTGGATATAAAGCTTAAATAAAACCATAATTTTAATCCTTAGACTGCTAATATTACAACAGCGTTAGTTGTTTCCCAGAGCCAAATGTTTTTATCTGGATTTAGGAAATATAGGTCAGAATGAATATCAAGGGAAAAAAATAAAAGTAAACATATAAAAATAAAAGTAAACATACACATATGAATTAAAAATTACTGATTTTATAAATATTTTAGCTCATCGTTTTAAGAAACTTTTGAACTTCATATTCTGTTTGAATCCTCAAGAAACTGATAAAATTACCATCGTAAAGAAATGACAAAAAATGAGATTACTTTTGGAGCAATAAAACTTTTACTTATTCTAACTATCAACGAACAGTCGATTTTGAGACTTTGTGTATTCAGTGTTGGATTATTTAATTTCTCCAAAATTAGTGTGAAAAAAACTGTTTAGATTGCATTTCTGCTGAAAAAAACAATATTGGAAGAATAAGTTCTTTATTCTTTTTCATGTTTGTTGCCTTGAGCACCTAAATAGGAGATGACTTGCTTAGTTTCATTAAGACTTTACATTTCCCAGCAATTCTTGCTTCGTTTTTCTGTTTAGAACCTTAATTCTTCTTTCCCTGCTAGTATTTGATGACAGTGTTCCTTAGTGGTGCCCAGAAGTCTGTGGACCACATCTTTGGTGTCAGTAGATTAAAAATTGTGGAACTTCTGAAAGGATTTTGTGGGGAACTACGTATCTGGGCTGTTTGGCATGAATATGGCTGTTAGCTTTCCCTTTAATTTTACTGGCAATTCCTGCTTTCCCAGAGGGCCACAGAATTTTCTATGACCTTCCCTTCCCTTATGTGTCCATAGGAGGCATAGACAAATGCTAAATATAGATCTTCACATGTAGAAAAATCTCATATGGGGATTGTGCTGCAAAATGAATGTAGTAGTGTTCCTAAATAATCTTATTAATATTCAGGGAGAGAAAATCTAATCAAGTTAATAATCTGCAGTGTTCTCATACTGATTAGGAATGTATAGGACCTCTTTTAGGAAGGCTATCAGCTTCTGTTGTGATTAAAAATAAAAATGCCTGTGGCTTATGTTATTTGTAAGCAGGAAAATAGCAGCTTCTTTAGTTCAACTAAAATAAATCCCTTTGCAAATCATGGAAGAATTGTGTTTCTGAAAAATTATAACAATTTTTATTAACATAAATACTCAAGAGAGAATTTGAAAGGAGTAGGTGAAATAGAGATTTCTATTAAGATTGATGTGTCTGTATGTACAGCCTTTCCAATTGTCATTTGGGAACTAAAGAATCAAAAATATTTAACACAAACAAGCTGAGATTGTTGAAAAAGGACAGGAAAACACAGCCCAAACTATTTTTGGAGCTCAGAAAATACAAGATTGAAGTATAATAGCTCATAGTAAAAATTTCTTTAGCTTTAGAAATAAGATGAAATCAAAGAAAGAGTGGGGCTGCCATGCAGAAAGAACTTGTCAAGATAAATGACGTTTTTCAGTTTGGATCAAAAAATTTCAGACAGCGTTTGACATGGGGTGGCTGGCTGTTAGAAAAGGAGGAGAAATGTAAGGCAGTGAAATGACCAAATTCAAAATGAAGACAAGAGTCAAAGTGCTTTATCTGTACGCATAAGAGGGTGTAACAATTTCCATCCTAGAAAGCTGAAAGAATATGTATTGCATGGGTATGGTACATCCTGTCTTTCCGTGAGTCTATCAGGTGGGTTGTTGTACTATAGCAAACAGAGCAACGCTATTCAAGAAAGGATAAAAACAGTTGGAACAAACAGGCCTGATAGTCAGATTTCAGAGCTATGCAAGGCTTAGAACAATATTTGAAGGAGAGAATAATTGTAGATTTGGAGCTAAGTGGAAAAATGAGATAAAATGCAATACAATGGTGTATCATTTCAGACTAACTTAATAATGCTGTTTAATCAGATCACCGATTTTTGTTTTTCTGACAAAGAAAAAACTGGATTTTTTTTTCCTTTTAGTAAAGTATTTGATATAGTACAACAGTAGGAATTTATTACTTGAACTCTCTTCTAGTGTAATAATTGTATTAGTGGGTAAGGAACTAATTGAAGAGGTGCAGCAGGTCACGCTGAAAGATTAAACTATTAGTGTGGAAGGTAGTGACAACTGACTTACGAGGTATTAGTCTTAGTAAATAGCTTCATTATTGAATGACAAAAAATAGAGTTATAGTAATGAAACTTGCTGATGATAAGAAATGAGGAGGTATTGTTACTCTAGAAATAGATGAGGATATCATACACAAAGAAAAGGTGTCTTTGAGTAGTGTAATAGAAATGGGATGGTGTTTAATATGTAGGATCATATACTTACAAACTAATACAATGGATAATTTTCAATACCGGTGGTTGATTCAGGACTTCAGAAATACTGGTGTGATTAAAAGCATGGTATGGAGAGGATACACCCTGCGTTTGTTGCTGTTGCAGCCTTTTTATATGTTTTCCATCTGTGTGGAAAATGCTGCTGGAAGTATTTGTGACTCTTATTGTCTGGCTTTGGACATAGGTTCCAGGTAGGTGAATTTAAATGCAAACAGTATAGAGGAAGGCTCGGTCACTAATTTCATGTAATGAGAGTGATGGCACTAAGTGCTTGTATTCATTTCACCAAGCTCTGCATGGGCTGAAGAGTTGGGTTAACTCTGCAGTAAATCTGTATCTTTATATTTTCAGTTTGTTTGAAAGCGCACACACAGTTTAGCCTTAAAATTTTTAAAAAATGTCTTGAGCAAACTGTTAAATTAGAAATATCTTGAGCAAACTCAAAAACTATTTGAGACATTTTGTTCTTGGTTGATGAAAAAAGTAACATATCAAGAGGAGTGAGTCATGGATAAGATTTGACTGAAGCTTGATATTCTTTAGGTAAATGTCCTTTTCTAGACCTTTTTTTTTTTTTCCCCTCAACAGTTAGAAGACTCCAGTGTTTGCCATTCTCCAGTTTCCTCTCTTGACCAGAAGCATCCCTGCAGATTAATTAGTAGGAGCAAGAAAGTGTACTGCTGTTACAGCCTGTTCCATTCCAGGATCTGATTTAGGCTGGCCCCATCTGTGGAATTAGTTAGTGAGCAGAATGGAATAACTTAGTTATGTTGATATAGTGATAAAAATAATTTTTTTTTTCTCCATTAATTGATTTTAAGCCAGAAGAAACCCATACCTTTTAAAACCAATAGTCAGTCTTGTAATAATTTTTGTATGTGTCCCAGCTGTACAGTTGTGTAGAGAATGCAATATGTAAAGTTTCTGTTCTGAAAAAAATATTTCCATTAAGTTTGTGGAGAAACACACTGAGGCATAACAGTTGGGCTTATTTTGCACACACAGTAGTATAGTCGCAAATTGCAGCTATTAGGAAAGTAATTCATGTTTGGATCTGTCCTAACAGCCTCTTGTGGACCCGGCCGGAAAGTAGTGCCTGATCTGTAGCAAGTTTTACCCAAACTGCTCGGACTTATTTATCTGCTATTATCAATGAAGATCTCAGGACAATATCACTATGTTCCTGGAACAGAAAAGAGTATGTAGTAAGGAGGAAAATAGAAAGACACTTTGGAACCAACAGGAAAGTGTTTAGGCTTGAATTTTAATGAAACAGCAGAGTTACGAAAATAAACCTCTGTCCATAGTTTATAAAGTGAATTCTTAATAGTGACTAGAAAATGGATGTATTAGGGGAAAAATTACGAATATGAGGTGAAAATGCATCTCCCTTGAATCAAAACTTTCTTCTGAAGAAACTAGGTCACAGAAAACTTAGGTTTGTCACTTCTGCTTTGTTTCCCAGATGTTTGTTTACTTTGGTTCATTTTCTGATCATTGTAGGCAGGAAAAAGCTCATGTGGATATTTATACGGATTGTGAGATGATGTTAATAATGTTGACTCTTGGGTGGGTTCTAAGTAAGTACATTCTCCAGCTCTCTGCTGCGAATTTAACAGACCATAAAATAGATCATGTTCAACTCACCCATTTCGTATTGTGCACCAAAATGTTGTTACTGAGTCTACAATGAAGTTTGCCTGCTTTTATTGATTCCTGAAAATTCGATGGAGATGGCTTTAGAAGATGCAACATACATGTGTTGCAGAGTATGCTGTCAGAGGAACTAAAGTGAATAATTGGTATACCTGTGCTAGTCTTTACCAGTAAAAGAAAACCATACGAATGAAGCTGCTCTTCTGTGTGATCAGACACGACTAAGCTCTAAATATATTCCAGGCACATGGAATACATGTGACATGTGAGCTCAACATACAAATGGGCTTGGTGTTGGTTTCTAGGAAATTATGAAAGGCTTTTATTTATCAACCATATAAATTTAAGGGGTTAAACTGCAAAAGGAAATATATTAAAATTTGTCTTTTTCTCTGAGAAACTTAAAAGAGTAGAAAACTGGCAAACTTGGGATCCATGCCTGAATTTGGATTTCAAAGCCATTTCTGTCCGTGAATCTTGTACATGAATTCAGAGGGTTGTTAAAATGGTATTATGATTTTTAAAACCACTTGAATGCTTGGAATTGAATAACTGTGTAAGATTAGAGATTTGTTTATGTTTTATGCTTCTGTTTCTCATTTGATACGTTAAATAAGGATTATTTGACATAACAGGAATATTTCTGGAAAGATGAAAGGTGACAAGCATCATTTGCCCTTGAAGAAATTAGTAAACTTATGTAATGCTTGAAGTTTATTCCAAATGTAGAATTCTCTCAGCTGGGTATGATTTATGTTTCTGTATTAGCCTGTTGGCTCATTAAGTAATAATGTATGATAATCTGTTTAAATACTTAAGTTTTAGTGACAGGAGGAAACTGGATGCGACCCATAGAATTATACTATTCAAATTGCTTGAAGCTCAGATGGAAATTATCACTATGGCAAGTATGATTATTTGAGCAGTAGCAGTAGTTTCCTATGGATTTTTGTATTGTTATGTATTTGATGTCTGTTTTACACCATAAACTCTAATTAAAGGTGTTTCCATGATTTAAACTTTTCTTGTCCATGTGTCCCTAGTAAGTTACAAGCCTGATTATGAGCCTGCCTCTGTCCAGTCACCTGTCTTGAGAACATGTCTATCTTTTATTGCTCATTTAAAGTCTGTTCAGAATTGGTCAGTATATTCAAAATAGGTAATATCAAGGACAGACTGCAGCAGTATAATCAGATAAGCAATGCTGAAGACTATTTACATGAACAGAAGGTAATGACAGTATGAGGATTCTGATGATATTCTGTAAGAATCTATGCTTGGATCATTCTTTTTAGGATATATGTAGCATGATTTTTAATCTTTTTTCAAATCAGCATAAAACATGAGGATGGTACATCGGAAATAATTGGGGATACTCAAGCGCAAAGATGGTAATCTTGTAAAACTCTTTAACGAGATTAGAAATATGCTCAAAACCAAAGTTATGAGAAGAAAAAAATGTTGATATTTTGCAAAGTCCTAGGAGGCAGGACAGATTAAGCAGGACAATTAATGCACTGTGTTTGTGATGTTACAGCCACAGATAAGTTAGCGTATTTTTAGCTTGGAAACATGAGTGCCATGAGAAAACTAGAAGCAGCTACTTCTTATGGAGTTCAAGTGCAACTTCAAAATAAAAAAAATTAGGAACTTTTTTTTTCCCTTCTCACATGCTGGTTGGTAACTTTCCGGAGTTGTTGTAGCTAATCCCTTTCAAATCATGGCTTTGAATTTGGTGGGGGTGGAGTCTGTTAATTTGTGTTTGATGTCCATTTGAACGTTGTTTTGAAAATCTATTTGGGAAACTTCATCTGCATGTGCAAATTCAATTTCATGTTTCAGCTCTGTGGAAGCAAATTTTTGTGTGTGCTGTGTCCTTCTTGCTGCTTCTCCAGAGGAATGAAAAGGTAGAGGAGATAGCCTGAGGCTGGGAAGAGAAGAGACTTTGCAATGAAGGGAGTGGAGAACAGACGTCCGATGGAGAGGAGGTCTCATGGGCAAAGATGAGAGAGATATGGAAACTGGCCAGCACAGAGGAAATGGAGAGAAGAATCTTTAAATACAAAGAAGAGGAGAGGGGTAGACACAGGAGATTGGAGATTCTGGAGGAGATGAAGAATTGAGGGCAAATTGTGTATGTAAGTAATGGGAGAGTGATTAGGAGGCAGCTTCTACAGTTAGAAGAAACGAAATGCATCAGGAAGGGAGCAGATGTGCTGGTGATGAGTGTCACTGAAGTGGTGGCTGCTCACAGGATGGCATCAGAAGGGGAAGAATCTAGTACACATGGACTGAAATGGACTGAAAGGAGGAAAGTATCTAAAATACGGGTACACAGGCGTATTTTACAAGTAGGAGCAGAGCTGGGCAGGTTGGCAGGAACAGAAGAGGACAGCTGTATTTGCTGTGTTGCTAGGCTGCGAGGCTTGGTTAAACTGAAAATTGCTCAGCTTTAGAGGTCTGAAGGCTCTATGCTTCCCCACTGTCTGGAAATAAGTGTGAAGGTGCTGTCAAGGTGTGAGGCTCTGCTTGACTTCTCTGCTGCCTGGTCCATGCGACACAGCTGAGTGCAGCTGAGTCAAGTGACAGAGGCTTGTGCCGTGGCTGCAGCTGTTCAGACCTTGCCAAGCTGGCGGGCGGCGTGGCGCCACACAGCAACATCTGCGTGTGCTTGAAAGACTTAATAACTTGAATTCAAAACACTTTTGCATGTGCCAACAGACTTTTCTGGGGTTTTTTGTTCGTTTGTTTGTTTAGTATTCTTTTAGCGTTTTTAGTGTAATTTTATCAGTAAACAATTAAAAAGTCACGCAAGAAAATTCATCCAGCTGGCTAGTAACGAAAGACTTGATACTCTCATGCCAATTTCATGTATCTTCTTACTTTACTGAAGTCTCTCTAGGTTTACACTGAACCTGAGAACAGGCAAATGAGACTCAAAATAGTGAGATATAATGTTGTTACTGGATTCTAAAGTGCTATTTCATGTCATTGACATGGCTGTTTTGCCTGAGTAAGGCCCATATTTTGGGGCTTGAAAGACTATTCGCAAGTGTCCACACATTGCTTGTGTTTGCATGGATGTGCCTGTGAGATTTTCCTTTTTAATTGACTGAATTTTTGAATGAAAAATAGCCTAAATTCTGCATAATGTTTTACTGTCTTTATAAGTAGCTCAGTGCAGTTAAGTAACTAATAAACTAAATCTGTAACAGTGTCTTTTGTGAAAAGATGGTGGTGGTACCGGATGCAGATTATTTGAAATGTGACTATGTCAGTATATTTACTTCAAATTAAAAATGTCTCTTCGCTGTTGTGTTTGTTCTGAAGTAATGACTGAATGGAGAAAGTTCTCCCCTGTATTCGTATTGTATATAGCTTTTCTTTTTCCCTACCACAAATTCTTCTCCTCTGTCCTTTCCGTACTACTTGTTGTTCTATCATAAAATATCTTTGTATGCCAAATAATTACTCAAAAGTTTTTGTAAAGCACAGTAATGATTACTTAATACACTTCTCTTTCCATCTTGTGATCAGAATTTATCTTCAAAAATTATATAATACAACATTATATGGGAAGAAGCAGGCAAGGAAAGTTTCTCTTATTTCCTACAAAGAAAGAATAAAGTGAAATCCAAATACATGTTTAACAGTGATCTTTCAGCATCCATGGAAATAATTTATTTTTCATTCTTATGCATAATGGAGTTTTAAAATTGTTTGTTTGTACAGGTGGTTGAAGTTTGAAGAAGATGTAGAGGATGGTGGAGAGAGGTGGAGCAAACCGTATGTTGCCACACTGTCACTTCATAGCTTGTTTGAACTGAGAAGCTGTATCCTGAATGGCACAGTTCTTTTGGACATGAGAGCTAACTCCATAGAAGAAATTGCAGGTATGTGTTGATGTTTCTTTTATTAGTTACGAAAATTAATCATAAAAATCAAGTGCATACAAAATTACTTACAAGAAAGCTATTGCATAATAATCAGTTCAGTTTAGAAACTCCTAGGAGATACTTTACTTCATATATTAGAAAAGAAACTAATGTCTGACACAACTAGTAAATATTTTGTTTATATTTTTGTATAGACATTGTTATTTTCAGAATCAATTTTTATGTAAAAGAGAAAATTAAAATGGAGCAGAGCGGACAGTTTGGATATATTTCTGCTCCTGCTGTGCCACCTCACATTGCGCATGATGTTTGTGCTGACTCCCACAAACTGAATCTAATGCTATGGTAATTGCAGGCAATCTAGCAAAAAAAATATTAAATTATAGGGGAGTATTCATCATAATTATGTAATATGAAAACAGACCAGTTTAAAAAAAACATATCCTTGAGTTGAGAATGAAATCAAGAATGATAATATTAAGTGTAAGTTTTTCAAGAATTTTAAGATGTACTAAATTCTTTAACTAAAGTTGAGTGCATTTTTTCCAATAAAGATGTGTTTGACAGTTGCAATTCTAGAACTTTTGAGAACAGCAGAAGCAGAAAGTAAGAAACAACATGATGGATGAGTCTGTGTCCAAAAAATAGAAGTGAGATTTTGACTGAATGCCATTTTCTGTATTCCTGGTGTTTCCCATAAAGACTATAACTAATTACTGCAGGGGCTTTTTTTTTTTTTTTTGGTAGTGCATTTGTTATTGTAATGAAGCAGGTTGTTAGGGGCTGTATAGTACAGACCTGTAATGCATGGCCACAAGGATTCCTGAAATTACAAAGGTTGCATGACGGAGCTAGAATCATGCAGTTCAGTCTGGTATGTTTATTTCCTTTCCCAAATACAGCAGCTAATTTGAATCAGATTGTTTATAAATAAATTTGTTAGTAGACAAGAACTGGAGATAAAGTAAGTTTCTCTTTTCTGTCAAGACAGGGATAATGTATGTGCTATAATATAAATATGTTTACATTAGACTTTGAAACTTATCATTAAAATGGTAACACCCTGTCCAAGGGCTCACGTGCCCTAGAGTTTCTAGTGCTGGGTCCTTATTCTCCGTGGTATTCTCCATATTGCAAACTTTGCTTGAAGATTAAATAATGATGTAACAGATGTAAATTTGGGAAAAAAACACATGCACAGACAAATGGTGCATGAGTGGTTTTTGGGGCCTTTTTGTTGCCTCGTCACAGGCACAAGGTAGCAAATTAACAGAAAACGTAAAATATAAAAATAGAAAACTCTTGTTTAGGTAAAGGTACAAAAGACAGCAAGAAAATTTTGTAACACTCAAGATTATCAAGAAAACTGCTTTACAGGTGATATGTAAGTCTATGTAATGGCTAGATAAAATTTATTTTAGTTATTTACGTTGCCAGGTAAGGGAGATACTGTTCAGTGGGTGGTATTTAACAGTGAAATTAAAATTGGCTCAGATAGTGGTAGCTGCTTTTTCCACTTACCTTTCCCGAATTGTTTATGTCAAACTGACGCAAGATATTATTAATCCAATTCTGCAGAAATTTGTGTGGGTTTCTACTCTGTGCTGAGATCTGATTGTCCTGTGAATCATGGTCTGAATCATAGCTTCAGAATTTGTCTTGATATTAATAAAAGATAAACATGAAGAATAAAAAGCAGCTGATTTGAAAGAACAAAGGTGTTTATCAGTATACTGCTTCATTATTTATTTGTTTAAAAAAACCCAGTGATCAAGAAGTACTTAGATGAGCTGCTTGATATTCTTTTATTGCTTTTTTGTGTAAATGATACACTAGGATTTTCAAGCTTGAGCTTTACGTTTTTAATCCAGAAATCTCTCTACTTCTTTCATAGTCACCTAAGAGATGCCTTCCAGAATTGTTTTTATTTAAGTAGGTAAAAAAGTAAGGATTAATGCAATAAAAATAACTTCAGCAACTTCATTTTTTTTTGTTTTTGGAAGATATTGTATAGTGAGACCACAAAGAATTCATGTTTATACTCTTTTAATCCCTAGTTAGTTGTAATCATTTTGTTTGTTTATTTAGTTAATGTGTCCAAGGATTTGAGAGCTCACAATACTAATTTGGTTTTGAAACTCATCACAGATGTAAGTTGGCCTTCAGTGGCGCATTTGATGAGTTAATGTAATGCTATTTTGAATCAGTCTTGCTTCTGGGTTGTCTTGATTTATTGATTAGGAAAAATTGTTTCTTGTGAGAAGAGGCTTTACCATGATTTTCATGAATTAGCATGTACCATTTTCACTTTAAAAGTACCTGTTGTTGTGGCAGATGTGCATGTATTTTGTTTGTTGTTTTATTTGTTGAACTGGTAGACATCTCTTTCTGATAAGGTGATCTGACACATGGTAAGGTTTATATGGGTTTTGCTTTGTCTTTGAGAGAGGATTTTTTTTTCCCCTTTACAGACTCAATAAGTAATGAGGTAATTGTGTGGGGTTTTTTTTGTGTGTTTTGTTTTTTTTTTTTTAATAACTTTGCAGCAGGTTCCTTCTGGCAGGTGAATCATTCTGTAAATTACCGACGTTTTGTGTCAGGTTTCTTTGAAGAGATTCCACACCTCTTCACCCCCCCCATAAAGTTGCTATTCCAATTGCTTTCCTCTATTCTTGTTATTATTAGTGTTGTAGTAATGCTGTTTTCCTCTTACTCAGTCAAATTCCTTTGTAATTTGTTACTCTAATACTACCTATGTAGCTCCTGCTCTCCAGTGCTTATGAAATGTTACAAAGAGTGTGGCGCACACATTAGGCAGTGCTGGGAGGACGAAAACCTACTAGTAGTGGTGACAAGGCCGCCACCAAGATATATGTGCTAGGTATGTTAGAAATTTGATAATTCCAAATAATATGACAGCCTGCTCTTTTTTCTTATAAATGACTGCTGGATGTGAAGATTAGACAGAACTTGGCATCTCTCAGGAAATCCTTTCTTTTCTATTTTACTCAGTTGCTACTCACTGTCACTAGTTAGAATCCTGCTTACCGTGTGCTATACAATGCAAACATTGTTTTCACCCTGGAGTTGGTATGTATTCCAGTTGTATCAGACACTCCTGACACTTTAGAATTTAAAGAAATAGTTGCTCTCACCTGCTGGCTTCAGTTTTTTCCAACATTTATTTCTCATTTTGCTTGCTAGCCATTCTCCTTCTAGGCTGGTCCAGTGATCCTGATAGTCACTTTTGGTTGTTTTTTTCAATGCTACTCTGTATACTGCATGTAGGAGAATTTGCAAAAATAGATTATACCCTATAATCTTAAGAGGTACTCCTAAATTAACTTTGGTTCTTGTACTTTTGATTCATAGTTTATTACTGTACGTTTTTGTTTCTTGATGCAATCTGTTGATAATTTTACTGCGTAACTATAGTGCATCATATCTTTTGAGAACAAATAAGCTAATTGTGTGCATGTACTTCCTTTTTACTTGCCTTAACGCTTTATTAGGGAGAAATGTGTGTTGTGTATTTGTTGGTAATGTCTTTCTGTCTGGGCTATATTCCAATATCAAATTATATTTCTGTAAATGGCAGTGCCACTCTTCATATCCTTGAAAGAAGCATACTTAATCTTCCTTGCTAAATCGAGACAAAGAATTCCTATTTGTTTTAGTCAAGATTTCTAATCTATAAACATTTATTCACTAAGGCATTAAACTCTCAGCATTTAGCCCTTGAAAATTTCTTTTATTAAAGTCTGTGTTTTAAGACCTTAATGGGCTTTGTGGCAAAATCTACAGGTGAAAAACATCTTTTATACTGTTTGCATGGCTTTCAGAACATTTTGTATTTCATCCCTGGAAACTCTGATAGTACTGTGTAAAAATATTTTGGCACCAGTGATGTGGTGAGAATTTTTAAATCATCCTGACTTCCAGCATATCCATTCTTTATTAGATTCTTTTTCATTCCAACCGACTTATTAAAATTGACTTGATCTACAAGACCATAAATTTCTTTGGACAGGCATCCAATTTTATTTATTAATAAAGAGCTTATGTGTACCTATGATGCTGAATTCACAGACAATATCTTAGTATAACAGAGAATTCTGAGATGAAATTTCCAACATTGTCATCATGCAGCAAAACAGCATGTTCATTCCTGAAGATTCTCAAATTGTCCGTAAATTTTGTAAAATGGATTTTATTTTTCCCTTGAAAAGAGCTCAATTCCTCTGCTGCAATTTATCCTGTTTAAAAATGTATTTGTAATTAAACATATTTTAGGATTATTTATTACTATTTTTAATATATGACATTCTTCTTTCATATCTCTTTGCAGTGACTCCTACATTAGTAAGCTAGCACTCCATGCACAAGGAATTCCATTGAACATTCGATGTAGTAATATTTTATCGATCACTTCTGTATAGAACATATGCTAAAAGGAAGTCTGAAAAATCTATGTAATCAAAACAATTTATTTTGGAACTTGTCTCTTGAAGAGGTATTTGCCAGAATCTGGCTGCACCATTAGCGAGCAGCTTCACTGTGTTGTTCAAGTTGGCAGATGAAAATGTTCTCTTTTGATATTTTCATTAGTTCCTTTGAAACCATGTAGATTCTCTGATTACCATCTGTTTTTTTGATTGTAACCACTGAATGAACCCAAAAGGTTCTTCTCCTTAACATATGATGCCATTTTCTGTCGTTCAGTTCAGAAACTGTTCAGTCCAGCCTTTAATGGCAATTCTTTCTTTACAACATGAATCACAGGTCTTGCGTTTTCCAGTAGTCGTGTGGTGTGTACTGTGAACAAATGTCAAACGTTGTCACATACAAACTGTGGCCTCAGCGTTGCACAGTGGTGCTTTGGTGACTTGCCCATGTTTGAAACATTAGATAGTCCCATTTATTTTAAATAGTTTAAATGTAATAATGTTTTTTTTTTTTTGAATTAAATTTTAAGTATTCCTATGTTTTCCAATCCA